ATTAATCTTGAAGTGGTTTACATCATATCACGTATTCTGCACTGTTTATGTTAGTATGCAGACATGCCTAGAGGACCTGCCCTATTGCAAGACAGATTATACAATTCAAGAGACAGATTGATAGAAAACCTCAGGCAGGCACATAGATTATCAGCAAGCTTTCAGGTAATTATGATAAACGGTTGGTAGTTACAGCAGATTATTTTGCCCCAGAGACCTCCCCAACTATATAGTAAGCTGGGTGGGCAGAGGACCCTTGCCCCCCAGGGTGAGCTAGGGTTAATGGGAGAAGGCAAGCGTGTGGTACAGACAGCAGATGGCAATATTCAGAAAGAGAGGGTCCAGAGCAAAGGTCGGTGGTGGCAGATATCTCAGGAACGTGCCGTGAGTGTTCTCCTCTAGCTGTAGGCTGCTTCGTCCGTGGATTCAGACTGCAAGATGGAGAGTTCGTGAGAGCTGTCTCCTCCTTGTGGACAGGCTGTCGTCAGGTGCCGTGGCCTTGTTGTGAAGGCTGATCAGGCTGTAGTCCCTGCGTGGAGTGTCGCCTCTTGTCGGGCCGGCCCAAAGGTAAGTTCTTTGGTGGGGAGCGGTATGGGCTACCTCTGAGCCTCGTTCGCTGGTTTGTCGCTATCTCCCTTTCGCTTGCCGCCTGTGGGCCCGGACTTTTAGTGGTTCCGTTCCGGCGGGTATCGAGTGGGCACAGATCAGAGCCCCATCTGATCCAGACTCTCCGACCACGGTGTCTGTCTCCACCAGGGCTCTGTGGGGAGTGTGGCCAGCCAGGAGGGAAAGTCCATATGCCTCTAGGTATGGGTATTCAGCGCTGAGTTTGCCGCCATTTTACACGTGGCTCTGGGCCTCATCCATAATGTGGTGGCAGTTCTTTGCCGCAGGTTCACCGCTGTCGCAGGGGTCTCGGGGCATGGACCGGGATAACCCCCATTGGCCCAAGGGGGGGGGGTGGGGTGGGGCCCGCTCCACGAACTTGTGGGGGTCTGGTGTGACACAGTTGGGCGGGATAGCGGGGCAGCGGCCGTCTACCCCGCTCACCGCTTAAGTAGGCCTCATCCTATGCGGACGACATAAGTCTTTCTGAGGGACTAAAACAGGGAGCCCAGGGCCCCTTCAGGTATCGGACCGCGTTTTCTGGTCGTCAGGAGTGTACTAGGTCAGCTTTGACTTGCTTAAATTTCAACTGATTGCAGGAGCTGTTGTTTCATGCGGCTGTTCTGCATGGCGGTCAGGCCCCCCATGATTTTTCTTTTATATAGCTGTATCCTCAACATATTATAAGGGGGTATATACTGTGATATATACTTTGGGGGAAGCTGCATTCTAAATATACTTGTAAGTGTTTTCTATTCACACCTAACATTTAGGGTGAGGTTGTGGGTTGCCTGTTCATATTTGTATAGTATAGTCATGTCCCCTTTGATATACCTTTTTTTTCTAAAGAAAAAAACCAAACAGTTTTCTGGTGTCTAGTAATAGGGAACCCGGGTTACTGCGCACTGATTTGCACATACACCTTACTGCTCCCACCAAGTGTTTTGCAGAGTAACAGGCAGCATGGTGCAGGAATTTTCTCCTGGCGCCTGCTGGCTGTATCGTGATTCCACAAAAGCAATAGTGCTGCCTTCCCTGCATGCACCCGCAACCACTTATGACTTACAGGGTCCTTCACTAAAGAAAGAATTCAAAGTAAATTTAAAATTTCAGGTAAAATAGCCGAACTGGAAACATTCTCTTAGTCTGCTATGCTTTGAGTTTGGCTACTTTGGTCTTAAATTTGAAATACACCTTGAGTTCTCACTTTAGTGAGTAACCCTGTTAGAGATGACCTAATTCAGTTCCAAATAAGATGTTGATAAAAACTGGAAAGATTTTAGTGCCAAATGTACCGTGTTTTGCTTTCCTGGACACGAGCTGTATTGCTCTTTCATTTTGACAGGTATGTTCACAGGAAAACATTGTGATTCTGGCAACCTTATCTAGGGCGCAGCTAAAGTCCCTTCCCATAGCATTCACTTAAATATTTGACCCTTGTTCCATTGTGTAATTTCATGAGAATCAATAAAGCAGTGTACAGACGGCCAACAGTACACTCTATTCAAACCAATACAGTTTACATGTATCTCTGAAAATATTTGTAAGGTCCAGATCATATATTTCATTCACAGGATTATTCACTACATAGTTTTGGTGTAATCTAAAAATGTAATTACCAGAACAAGAGCTAAAATAGGGGAACTGTAAAAGTTATTTGGCTCAGCTACATGTGCTAAATATATATTTAAAAAAAAAAGGACAAAACAAAACTTGCTTGATATAGCACAGAATTCACTTTGTGATGATACAGTTACTGAAATGATCAACAAGCTATCTGCACGTTTAACCCCTTCAGGACGGAGTCAATAGTACACGTTCTGATCAAAACAAAACGTAAACAAAAACTGGAATTTGCGCTATATGTCTGTTCAACCATAATTCACCTCTTTCATATTAAATGCACCCACACTTATTATATATCATTTTGTTCAGGAGAAACAGGGCTTTCATTTCATATCAAATATTTATCTATGAAACATAACGTATTATGAATAAAATTTAAAAAACTGTGAGAAATTTTAAATTGTTAAAAAAAAATTGTAGTTCCGCCTCACATTTTAGCTGTAAATGTCATAATACTGTTCGGTTTTACTGCAACAAAATGCACATATTTGTAATCAGCAATGTCTCACGAGTACAACAGTACCCCCCATTAACAGGTTTTATGATGTTTTTAAAAAGTTACAGGGTCAAATATAGAACGTTCCATTTTCAAATTGAAATTTGCCAGATTAGTAATGTTACCTTTGAGACGGTGTGGTAGCCCAGGAATGAGAATTACCCCCATAATGGCATACCATTTGAAAAAGTAGACAAGCCAAGGTATTGAAAGTGGGGTATGTTTAGTGTTTTTTAGTAGCCACTTAGTCACAAACACTGGCCAAAGTTAGCGTTCATATTTGTTTTTTTTGTGAAAAAAGCAAAAAAATAATATTTGGCCAGTGTTTGTGACTAAGTGGCTACTAAAAATGACTGGACATACCCCATTTGCAATACCTTGGGTTGTCTACTTTTGCAAATGGTATGCCATCATGGGGGTAATTCTGATTCCTGGGCTACCATACGGTCTCAAAGGCTACATAACCAATCTGGCAAATTTCAATGTCAGAAAAATGAAATGCAAGCCTTATATGTGACTCTCTAACTTTCCAAAACACCATAAAACCTGTACATGGGGGGTACTGTTATTCTCGGGAGACTTCACTAAACACAAATTTTAGTGTTTTAAAACAGTAAAACATATTACAACAATAATATAGTCCATAAAAGGGCCGTTTGTTTGTAAAAAATGCTAAAAACATCACTTTTACTTAAAATATCATCGTTGTAATACAATTTACCAGTTTGAAACACTAATATTTAAGTTCAGCGAAGTCTCCCAAGTAAAATAGTACCCCCTATGTACAGGTTTTATGGTGTTTTGGAGAGTTACAGGGTCAAATATAATGCTTGCGAATTAAATTCTCTGCACTTTCTCCCTGTGTTGTCAGGCATGTCAATCAAATTTTAATTAATCAAATCACATAATTACGTTAAAAGATTACTTAAATATACACGTAGAATTTTAATATATATTCATTTATAGGTATTTAAATTCTACGTGTATTCTAATGTAATCTTTTATGTAATTATATGTATTTATATATATATATATTTGCGGTTATTTGTATTTTATATATAGGTAGATATATATAGAATGTCATTCTAAGTGTATTTTGTTACCAATATATATATATATATATATTAATAACAAAATACAGTTAGAATGAAATTACATATGAATATATAATTTATATTAAATTTTGTTTCAAATTTTTATTTATTTATTTAATTATTTTATTTATTATTGTAATTATACGTATATATATATATATATATAATATATGTGTATATATCTATTTTATATATAATATATATACATATTATATATATGTAAAATCCCCTCGCGCCAACGCATAGATAGAGCCTCTCAAGCCACTTGGCAACTAGCAGGGCCTCACCAGTCACCAAAAACACCAAGCTTAATTGTTTCACCTCACGGCTTAGCTAGCAAGCTAATAATTGCACTTTTTATTGTTATTTTTTTTTCAAGAAGGTGGCGAAGAATTATCTCTTCCTAGCACCTCGACTAGAATCGATACACCTTCACGTAGAGGCTCAGCAACACCAACTTAGGTGATACCCAGGCCATGCCGAAACTCGGTTACCCGATACAATCAATTCTCCTGACACTCAGGACGTTAAACCTGCACATATGATAACAACACACAGTAACAGATATCCTGGAAGGTAAAAGATGTCAACTTAACATCTCTACCAATGGCCATCTTAGGCCATGCAAACCTCACTCATGAACTCCATGAAAAAATAAATAAAAAAATGAACGACAGACTGGCAAATCTCGAGTCACTCACCACAGCACTCACAAAGGCTGGGCCTCCCGCTACCATACAACCAGCACCAACCGAAACTCGGTTACCTGGTTCAATCAATTCTTATGACACTCAGGACGTTAACCCTGCACATATGAACCAAGCACAATGGGAAACAAAGCATATATATGTATAACGATGTATCTGTGGGGGTCAGATCCAGGGATTCCAGGTAAACGCAATCTGACTATCCCTGAGTTGTTTTGACATTTGGCATATATAGAGATGTTATTTGTGCATGTACCCTAACAGAAGTGAAGAATTTGATTCCTATGCACAAGCTGGTAGACCTAGGAATACATATGGTGGTTGGGCCTTTTACGACTATCATAGGTCAATTTCTACCAAAGTATCTGGCTCTCTCTCCCAGTTTGGTAACAGAATCAACTGGCATAGACTGGATATAGAGATTTTCTACAGACACTTTGCAGGTCTTAAAATATCAACTTGTGCATCATGCTCTTTCATACCCACAACAAACTTTTCTCCCAACCAAACAGACGATCACTATCAGGATCCAGGTACCAACACCTCTGGTAGAATGGAGCGAACTACAAGAGACAAATTGGGGCGTCCCATTTTCTTTTCGGCAAATCCCAGATTTTCAACAATTCTATATTGTTATGTATAGTTGCAGTGCATATAGAATGTTGCATACATGTGCAAATGGCTCAGGGCACATGACAAACCATGTGTCCCAACACAATGTACAAAAACCATACTTAACGTCTGTAAACATCAATGCATTTTCAACACTACTGACTCCTCACCCTGCCAGACTTTTAGTAGATTTACTAAGCTCTGGATTTTCAGAGGGTTCCCATACATGTATCATACGTATACCTTCAGGGAATCTAGAATGGCCTAACTTGCAGT